GAGCTTAGTTGTTTTCATGCAGACGTTTCATTACCCAAACTAGGTAACATAATCAGTGCTAATATTGTTTCAGTGCTAGTATCAGTACTAGTACTAAATCTAACACTGATGATGTTAACTAGATACAGAGGTGGGTTTCAGCAGGTTCGGACCAATTCTGGAGAACCGGTAGCGGAAATTTTGAGTAGTTTGGAGAACCGGTAGTAAAAATTCTGACTGGCCCCGCCCCCATTTATTCTCTGCCTCCCAAGTCCCAGCTGATCGGGAGGAAATGGGGATTTTGCAGTAACTTCTCCTGGATTGGGGAGGGAATGGAGATTTAACAGTATCGTTCCCCTGCCACACCCACCAAGCCACACCCACAGAATGGGTAGTAAACAATTTTGAAACCCACCACTGACTAGATAGGATAATGAAACGTCTGCAAGAAAATAAGCAAACTCAGAGAGCACCAAGAACTCCTCATTTCAACCCTGAGCTACAAATATTCTCCTTTATTGGTATTTCCAAGTTATTGTTATCTTTTTAAAAAAATCTGTGTTAGATTCCTGTGCTATATATAATCATGGACAGTTCCTGATAATCATTAACCAATCAGTCATTGCCCTAATTTCTTCTAGGCTATCCAGTAGTTTAGCGTGCCTGTTTGAGGTCCCTTCCTTTGTATGTTAACAAAAAGTTCCTTTAGGCCCCCACCTTCACAAAAATAAAATGAAATAACTCACTGCCGACTCCCCACTTGCAGATACCCACCCATCTCACAGTATATAAAACTTCTCTGCAGATGCTGCACTGCTCTGTTTCCAAACGGAAATGACATCTGGAAGGTCAGCACAAGAGCACAATGGGGGAAGGGAATAGGAAAACCAGGCTGTTGCTATGTGCTGTAGATCTCTTATGGGTGGAGGTTGCAGATTTTGTAACAATGCCTGTAACATTGTGAATTTCAAAGGAGAAAAAAAAAGGGTTTTCACTACTTGGAAAAATGCTGAGAAGAAGAAGAAAAAAAATACACCAGGTTACAGGTAGTCCTTGACATAGGACCACAATTGGGCCCAGAATTTATGTTGCTAAGTGAGATGCCCGTGTATGTGTGTGTGTGTTCCTTGGATACTACACAGGTCTGGGCTATGGTTATGGGGGAAAACAGGGGCTCCCTCGAGCGGCTGCCTGTTTTGGAGTGAACAGAGATTCTGGTTATTTGGTTTGTGTGTTGGCAAATTCACTTACATTTATTTTATTTTTTGAATGTTAGCTTGATCCTGTTCAGATTTAGGCAGAAAGGTGCCTCCCAAATACTTTGAATTGCATCTTCCATTAGATTCACATACAGTGATGGGGTTTATGATGCAAAATACAGGTAGTCCTCAAGTTAACAACTACACTTGAGCCCAAAATTTATGTGGTTAACTAAGAAATTTGTTAAGTGAGTTTTGTCTCATTTTGCAACTTTTCTTGCTACATTTGTTAAGTGAATCAGTGCAGTTGTTAAATTAGTCACGTGGTTGTTAAGTGAATCTGGCTTCCCCATTGACTTTGCTTGTCAGAAAGTTGCAAAAGATGATCACATGACCCTGGGATGCTGTGACCATCATGAATATGAATCAATAGTCAAATCCAAATGTAAATCACGCGACCATGGGGATGCTGCAATAGTCATAAGTGTGAAAAATTGTCATAAGTCACTTTTTTCAGTGCCGTTGTAACTTTGAATAGTTGCTAAATGAATTGTTGTTAAATCAAGAACTACCTGTATTTGCAAGACGACTTTGGTTTACTTTTATTGACTTGCATGTAAACATGGTGCAAATGATGCCCTGGCAACTTATTTCTATCCCTGCGACACTGTCCATCTCCTACCCAGAACATTTAAGTAAGAGAGCTTTAGCTGTATTGATGTTCTACCAATGGGTAGCAAGGAACACAAACATAAAAACCTCACTTATCCTGACCAATGATATAAATCAGATCATCGGTCCAGCTAACTCAGTAGCAACCACACTGATTGCCTGAATCTCTCTAGGATTTCTGATAAGATTTTTTCCTTAGACCTTCTCACGATGTTAGATACGAATTGAGGAAGTTTCTACATGCCAAATACACGAGTCACAGCTATCCTATCTATCACACCATATCCTTATATTGGACATCTGAGGAAGTGAGAAGATGTTGCTGCAGGCACTTTGTGGTTGCTGAGGAAGTTCAGAGTCATCTAACACAGGACTCTCTGTTAAGGATATTGGTGTTGTGTTACCAACCAGCAGAGTAAATGCACAAGGAAACGTTGCTGAGAGCGATGAATAAGAGTTATGCAAACTGGTTTATCAAAAGCTTACTTTATAGTAGAAAAACAGTCTCATAGTCTTTAAACAAATTCCAAGTCTTTGCCAGTAAATCAGTCCAGTAGTTACAGAATCTTCTTACCCAACAAACAGTAGTTGGTTAGAATAACAAACTCACTCTGGTTCACAAACCACGATGGTTGCAGATCCATCAAACGATGATTAGCAGATAACAACTCCTCTCAATGGTAGCTTATCATAGCAGCTTCATCATCTCATCATCTTCATACACAATGGCAGCATAGCATAGCAGCTTCATCATCAACAGCAAACTGAATACGTTACAGTACCTTGCTTAAATATTCTCACAACCAGTAATTATGTAATTACAGCATGATTCAGCATTAAAGTCACATAATACATTTACAGATTAAAGTTACAGTACACTTATATTACCTGGACAACTGTTAGGCTCAAACCATATCCTAACACTCTCCAACTCTGGCAACTTTAAGCCTGGAGGACTTCAACTCCCAGAATTCTGGAAGTTGAAGTCCTCCAGGCTTAAAGTTGCCAAGGTTGGAGACCCCTGATCTAACAGTTTTTCAAAGGGCGGGCTTCCTTAGGATTTCTTAAAGAGTACATGTGCTTCAGATCTCATAATTTCCTTGGGCATGATGGTCTCTCTCTTGTAGCCATCCATAACATAATGCACAGAATAATTTTTGAAAGCCATCTAAGCTAAAAGCCAGCTGGTAATATCTAATTCTATTAATTATGTATGCATGACTTGGTGATCAGGAAGGCCAGCAACTAATGTGTATAATATAAAAAAAATTAAACTATTCTTCAGCAACAATTAGCCCCAAGACAGCGCAATGTGTAGTTAAGATCTGTGTTCTTGTGTCTTCTTTTGGCAGGGGAAATCAAAGCCAGGGGGTGGGAAAGAACGACGTTCTGCTACTTCAGTCTTGGAAGGAAGCCTGCAGGGAAATCTCTGTTAGTGGTGCACAAGCTTCTAAGAAGAAGGAATTTAGTTTTGCTGTGAGATCAAGATTTCCAGCTACACAATGCTGGGAAATGTGCAGTCAACATGTTTGTGTTGGGACTGGTGCGAGGGGAATAAGCATTCTGGCTGAAAGCCAGTTTGATAAGGAAACCTCTGCACTGCTGAAGCAAGCTCACAAGAGACAGCCCTGTGATGCTGGCTAGAAGCTCAGTGGGAAATAGGAGATACCGGTTTTTGTTTCCTCCTAGAGAGGTCCAAATGTGAGCAGCACCAGGCAAAGCCTGGATTTTGTTCTGCAAAAGAGAATCACTTGAAAGAATGAAATGGGAATTAACACCAAGAACTCCTGCTCTACACAGCCAGCATGAATCAGGCAGCCTAGGCCGACTGTAGACCAAAATAACATCACGGACCATTTCCACATGAGGACTGCATGTGAGCTTGAAATCAATTGTGGCCTTTGGTGTCGTTACAACTGGCGCGTAAACCAACACCATGACTGCTGTCCAAATATCTCCAAAACATTTGGAAGTGGGTGTGATTATCTTCATTCCTGATAATCTCAGAATATTAAGCCACTTGGTGTTTCTTTCTGCCAACCAGTAAGTTGCACAAATCATAATTAGTTCCTGATCCTGAACTGGAGTAACAAATTTGCATTTGCCTTGCCGTATCTTGTCTTTTTATGTACACTGAGAGCATATGCACCAAAGACAAATTCCTTGTGTGTCCAATCACATTTAGCCAATAAAGAATTCTATTCTATTGCAAAGCATAAAGCCCGAGCTGTTGTTATTAATTCAGCTGCCTGCCTTCAAAGTATTATCTTCTTGCATGTCAATTCCCATTGAAAACTGGCATCACTGCGCCATTTAGCAGCCATGGGCTTTTTCTTCTCTGTAACATTGATGTCTTTGGTTAGGGAAGCTAGAGAAAGGAAGAGGGCAAGTAATGTGATGCTTGAATCTCAAAACTGTGAACCAAAGTAAAGCAAGAGCTTCTTCCATGCTGCTTACGTATATAAGCAGGAAAAATCAGGCTAGGTAGTTTTGGAGGGCTTGTGAGTAGAAGGTACAGCCCCACCAGCCTCAGTGTAGTGTACTCAGTGTAGTGTAGTAAGGGGCGTGCATAACAGTGGTGGGTTTTAGCAGGTTCTGATCAATTCTGGAGAACTAGTAGTGGAAATTTTGAGTAGTTCAGAGAACCAGTAAATACCACCTCTGACTGGCTCTGCCCCCATCTATTCTCTGCCTCCCGAGTCCCAGCTGATCGGGAGGAAATGGGGATTTTGCTGTAACCTTCTCCCAGGAGTGGGGAGGGAATGGAGATTTTACAGTATTCTTCCCCTGTCATGCCCACCAAGCCACACCCACCAAGCCATGCCACGCCCACTAAGCCACACCCACAGAACTGGTAGTAAAAATTTTTGAATCCCAGCACTGGTGCATGAGTGCATCGACATGCCTACTGTCCCTGTCCTACTGTCCCCATTTATTTGTACCCATTTTCTGTATTCATAATCATGTTTATATTTATATCTGTTATCTTATATATGCTCAACAAAATAAATAAATGAATAAAATAAATAGTTACGAGAACAAAATGAAGTGGGAACTTCATAAAAGCACCTTGACCTCCTGGTAGAAAGGTGGGATATAACTTTAATACATACCTGCAAATAATAAGCCCAAATTTGTTGATGAGGTTACCTGTGAAATCTGCAGAGAGTTCTGTGTTCAGATGCTGGAACGAAGGGGTGAGGCGATTGTTCCTGTGAACTGGTGTAACTCCAGCATGGTAAATCTGAGGAATGAATTTTAACTGTGAATTTTAACTTGAGCTACACCACAGTTTACCTGGAAGAAAATGGATTTGACTGCTTGAGAAGGAATATTATGAGAATGTAGTAAGCCTATGCTGATGCTTCAAAGTGCAAATGTTACATAGAGGGCCAAAGGTCAGCTGCATTGGTGAGCTGAGCTGATTTATTTCTACTGTAGTAAAATTGTCATCAAGTTGAAACCAATTCAAAGCTAAATTGTCTGGGAGAAGAATGCTGTTGAGATGCTGTAGCTTTAATTCCCATTGGAGGAAATGCTTGCCTGACCCTTCCTCCTGACTCCTGCAAGGAAAATGATGCATTGATGGTTTTGCTGTTTCCTTTCAGCAGAAGAAAAGAGCAAGAGCGAAATTGCCAAGGCTGTTCATTCCTCTTCCTGCATGGCACCAGGCCAGGTGCCAGAGCCCAGGGAAAGGGACCAAACGGTAGTTATGTTATTTCCTTTTTCTCCTGGTAGTATGGAGAGAGGAGATTCTTGCTGCTGAAATCCCAGAGGTGCTCTTGAGCATTATGTATGGATTTCTGCTGGGCATGGCGTGATGAGCAGGGTTAAAGAAATAAGATAGGTAATCTTCAGGCTATGATGGCGATTGGGATTGGATTTCCCATCATTAAGCAATGTGGTCAGAAAGTTCAAAGTCATATGACCACATCACTTAGCAACAACAATCCTGGCAGACCTGGTTGCCGTCATAACCACAAGACTGCACCGGTTGTTAAGCAAGTCACATGACCATAATATGGGAAAAAGCAAGAATTATGGGCAAGCCGGCTGGCAAGCGAAAACAATGGGCCAGCAGGTGGGTGGGTGCCACAGGTGAGTGCTATGGCACACAGGGGCAGACAGGTGCTGTGGGCAGGCCCTATGGAGTGCAGGCAGGAGGGTGCCACAGATGGGCTTTACAGAGTGCAGGCAGGCAGGCAGGCAGACAAAAAAACTGACAGGAGCAGGAATGCCTTGCAACTTCCTGCCAGCTTCCTCATTGACTTTGCTTGTGAGAAGCCAGCAAAGAAGGTTGCAAATAGTGATAACATGACGGTGGGAAGCCACAGTAATTGTGAGCTGGTTGCCAAGTACCCAAATTGTGATCATGTGACTTTGCGGACACACAGGGAAGCCACAAGGTAGTGTGGAAGTCCCCCTTATTCAGCACCTTTCTAATTTTTTTTAAAATAATAAACATAAATTTTATTGTCTTTCCACCAGAGCAAAACCCCTTTGAGTGCCCTCCCCCTCCCCACCAAAATACATCGCCCCCACTACACCCCACCCCAAATTCAGCTGCGATTGTGCCTCACAACCTCCCTTCCTTTCTCTCTCTTTTTTTAAATTTAACAACAAACTTTATTGAATTTAAAAATTGTAAAACACAAAAATATACAAATTTTTCTCAATCATAAAATTACATATACAATACACAACCCCACAAACAAACTAAATATATATAACTGTGTGTACATACATATATAAACAGTGATTTATTTCTTATTCTATCTACCTGACGGTGCTTATTTGTTACATTTGATTTTTCCTAAATTTAGTCTTTACCCATTTTTCTTTTGATTTATCCACTTATACCATCTATTCCATACTTCAAAATATTTTGAGTCTTCCTTATCTTTTAATTTTAAGGTTAATTTATCCATTTCTGCACATGCATAAATTTTTTGAATTATCTCCTGGTCTGTTTCTAATTTTGAATATTTGCTGAACAAGTAGTTGTAACCCGAAGACTATCTGTAGAGAATTTAGGACAACGATGGAGACTTGGGCATTGGTTCAGGCTTTAGTAGATACATAAAAGTTTATAAACGGCAATTCTGCAACTTTTATTTTATTCAGGACGGTTACTTAACTCTTTGATGTAGAGCAGATTAAGAAAGCAAAGTTGTGAATACTAGTACTACTTTTATTATAAGGTTACAGCATAAGTAAAAGAATCTTGCATGTCTGAATATGCTTCCCTCCTCCTCTTTATCTTGGTGAAAACTACTAGGGAGGGTTAAGTCTAAGATGGCTTCTCAAATTTTATTTCCACCTCAGACCCAAATTTCTCTTATCTGACCGATGTCTCGTTGCAGTTGTTCCTCCTGTTCCTTGGGGTTATTCCTACTTCCCATTATAGGGGGTGAGCAAGAACTTCTGAATAAATATTCTCTTTTTTGGGGGGCAAAAATTATGCAAACAGCTTCTCTGGACCTCAGCAAATAGCCAGAAATGATGGCAGCACTGATAGAGACACTGTGCGAACTTCAATCCTCCTATCAGCAAAGATCTCAGGGAGTAAAATATTTAGGAGCCATGGCAGAGAAGGCCCTTCTCCTGGATCCTGCCAGTTGAAATTCTCTCACAGCACACCCTTTCTGCCGGCACAGGTGGGGTGAACCAGTTCCATTGGGATGAGATGGTTCCTCAAGTAACTTGGACCCATGCCATGCATTTAAAGGTGATAACCAACACCTTGTTTGGGATAATACCATCTATACAGCTCAGGCATAAGGAAGTTTTCTGTAGAGTTAGAGCCAGTGGTGAAATCCATTTTTTTTACTGCCTGTTCTGTGGGCGTGGCTTGGTGGGCGTGGCTTGGTTGGTGTGGCAGGGGAAAGATACTGCAAATCTTCATTCCCACCCCACTCCAGGGGAAGGATACTGCAAAATCCCCATTCCCTCTCCACTCCTGGGAAAAATATATTGCAAAATCTCTGTTCCCACCCCACTCTGGGGCCAGCCAGAGGTAGTATTTGCCGGTTCTCTGAACTGCTCAAAATTTCTGCTACTGGTTCTCCAGAACCTGTCAGAACCTGCTGGATTTCACCCCTGGTTAGAGCTCAGTGGAAATGCACAAGGGCATCAGTCCAAAATTTTGGTTTGTTTCTAGGTTACAGACCACAGGAGGAGAGGGAGGTAAAACCTCAACTACAGCAACATTTAGTATGATTGGCCAGAATTACAATTCAGCAGCCCCTATAGATGTCTGCTTTGCTTATTTAGGTCTCTGGGAAGTTTTCATTCAACCAAGACTTTGTAGACTGCCCTACAAAATGGGAGCTAACAGCCCTTTGCATAGGGTCATTTTATATTACCTTCAAACAGAACTGCTATAACATCATTTATTTATTTATTTATTTATTTATTTTTCGTTTTAAAAACAAACTTTATTAAATTTAAAAAAGAATAAAATTATATAAAACATTCACAACCTTAAAATACAAACAACAATATGAACAAACAACAAAGTATATATAATGTATATAAGTACACATATATACAAACCTAATTTTCCCTTTTTTTTCCCTTTAATGACGGTGTATAATTATTACTTTTAATTCCATACTAAATTTTGAGTTTACTTTCTTTTCCATTGGTTTATCCACTCATACCAACTGTCCCATATCTTAAAATACTTTGAGTCTTCCTTATCTTTCAATTTCAATGTTAGTCTATCCATTTCTGCACATGTGTAAATTTTTTGAATTATTTGCTGCTCCGATGGCAATTGATCTGTTTTCCAAACTTGTGCTAGGGCTAACCTAGCTGCCGTAATTATATGTAATATTAGGTACTTTTTTTCCTTTCTAATGTTTTGTTTAATCATTCCTAACAAAAAAATTTCTGGTTCTAACTCAATATCCTCCGCAATTATTTCTGATATCCAAATTTTTATTTTTATCCAATATTTCTTAATTTTTGGGCAAAGCAACATCATATTTTTAATAGTACTGTAGACTGAAGAACACTAAAATTTTCCAATTCAGATTAAAGCTCAATCTTAATTTTTCCTGCCTTTCTTGGATTCAGCTTGGATCACATATAGTTCTTTAGTTTACTTGCCTTCCCTACGAATTCCTTCCGTTCCATCTGCTTTAACAGGATGTGAATTCTCCCTTGAGGATCTTGTCAGAAAGTATCAGGGCTTTATTTGTGAGACATCTTGTTCTATATCTCATTTACTCACAATGACTAGTGACATGTACGTGAGAGGGAAATTGCAGTTCTTAAATTTGTTACTGCTAGGAAGAAGTATGGGCAGACCACTGTTTGCAAAGGTAAATTTTGCTCTCCATATGCTTTCTTCTGCTTCCCTGGAACAATTTAATATTTTCTCAGTTTTCCCATTATGAATACTGTATATTCAATCAGATATTTATGTACTGTTTTTTGAACCTCATAAAGAGATCTCAAAACAGGGAAACACAATGTTAATAATCTATTCATGTCTTTAAATTACAAAATTATGTGTAGTTATTATAAACATGAGAACAAATATGTCAGATGTAAATGCCTTATTCTCCAATGTGTAAATAGTGTACAGACAGGGTATCAGGGGTTAACTTATCCTTCACTTCTTAATGTATTCATAATTCACCACTCCCACATATAGCTCCACCCATTGTATATATAAGGAGCTACCTACACCATTTCCCTTGCTTCTATCTGTGAATATTCAGTGAATATAGAATGCCTAATGTAAATAAAAGAATATATAGTTAAATCTTTAACTCTTGTTGATCTTATTGAGTCTGATCCTGAAAATATTGCAACAAACTGGTAGCAGAGGATGGTTAATTGACTCAATAAAAAGCTTTAAAATGTCTAAGAAAGATAGGCCCAACACCAGGGCCTACAGCAAAGAAATGGAAACGGAACAAGAAATAATCAACGAATCCACGAATGCAATTTCGAGAGAATCCGAAGAATACACCACTGAAGACGAAGAAATAATTGATGACCAGGAGGAAATCGAAATAGAAAATAACGAACTCAGGTCAGAGATATTAAAACTATTAAAAAGCCAGAAAAATGATGAAAGCCTCATCGCGAACCTCCAAGATATGCTAAAGAACAGCGGAGCAGCGAGAGAGAAAAACATCACCAATGAAAAACCCAAAGATCCAAAAATAGTGAGTAATATGACTGCGGAGAAAATCATTACAAAGAAGAAAAACGATGATCCCGCGCAAAAATTTGAATGGCGGCCATCTTGGTTTCAACCGGCCTCCAAGATGAACGAAGAAGAGCCAATCAGCAATCTCAATTCAAAATTTCTGGCGCGAAAAGTATTATCGGACAACGAAAACGAAAAGGAAGATTCAAACACCTCAGAAGAATCAGAACCAGAAAGCGAGGAAGATCCAACAAAACACCAAATAAAATCAGCGATGAAAACGCTCTTTGCTGCATTTGGGCCAAAACTGAAAATTACTAAAAAGACACTAAAAAAGCGAACGAGCAAGCCAATGCCTCAAGACCTGCCCGCTCCCATCCTGACTACTAGAACGCTGACGCCGGAACCCAGAGAGCCCTGCCGATATCGTCCTACGCCGCAGACCGAAGCAAGCACCAACGCTTTCAATAGAAGAGGAAGAACAGCCACCGACGCCAGAACCCCCAAAGTCGAACCAGAGACCGACTCATCTGAAGAGGAGCAGAGCGAGCGGGCCGCAATGAGGAGAACCTTCCACGACGACGCCAAAGAAGAAATGGACAACGCGCATGCGCGAAACTACGCTGACGATCCGGGAAGACATGAACAGGAGAGAAAATCATGCAGACTCGTAGCGAGCATCCCCATGCCGTTTTGCAATTTTCTGCATTTACGAGACCACGGACTACCTCAGGTTGTAAGTAATGGACCCAATAATGTCGGAAATTTACCCAGTGACTTCCCAAAACTAAGGGTTGATGGCATTAATTTACAAGAATGGTATCAACAGCTCCAGGTTGTCTTTATGAAGGAAAACTTACTGTTTTTTATCACTAGTCCCCCAAAAAGACCTTGGACACTAAAAATAGATTGCTTACACCATAGAGCTTTTTTCTTAATAATATCTAGTGTGTCTCCTGCAATGTATCACAGCATTAAGCCAAATTTGACTGTTTCAGAAATTATTCAATGCATGTTTAATTTGTTTCACAGTGACAGTGTAGCCACCACCACAAGGATATCTAAAGACTTCTTTTCATCTAGGATAAAACCAGGGGTTTCCATAAGTGAACATTTAATATCTTTGAACAAAATAAGAGCTGAACTGCATTTGAGGGGGGAAGTGATTTCAGACCAAACAATGAAAAGTGTAATTATCAACTCACTTGACCCATCATGGGACAATTTTATGTCACATTTAGACACAATCAATCTAGGGTATTTATCCATAGAAAGTCTATCTAACAAATTGATAACAGAAGATAATTCTAGAAGGAATCGTTCTAACAATCACACAGAACATAAACCATATAGGAAAGTAGCTTTCCAAGAAAAATATAGTGGAACATTTAAATGTCATAATTGTGGATCCAGGGAACACAATAGAAGAGATTGCCCAAAATTCTTAAAAGAAAGATATAGATCAGAATACAGAAACAAATACGATTATAGACAGCCTTCCATAGAAAGGCATAGATATAGGAGCCCACCAAATCACAGAGAGAATAGAGGGGGCAGAGACAATTCAAAGGATAGAAAGTCTGGTTCACTGAATGGATTAAATAAACAAGACAACACTAACACACAACAAAGTGAGAACAATAATTGGCTTATTGATTCTGGAGCAACTAATCACACCACTAATAACAAAAGTATATTGTCTTCATTTGCAGAAGATAAATTTGTAATTAAGGTTGCTAACCAAGAAAAGGTTCAAGTATTAGGTAGAGGAAATGTAACCTTGCCTGGTTTAGGAAAAATAGAGGGGGTATTACTAATACCTGAAATACCTCATAACATATTAAGTGCCATAAAACTAAGCAGAGATTCTGACATTAACATTGTCTTTTCAAAAGGAAAGGCAACTTTGGAAAAGAATAAAATAAATGTAGGCACTGTGGTGACTAAAGGAGGACTACCTTACCTAATAACAAAAGAAAAATGGTTACATAACATTGATTCAAATATGGAAGATTGTATTGAAATAGATGATGAGAATGTTAGCAACAGTGACAATGATGAATGTAAAATATCTCATGATCACACAGATGCACACAACGATAAGAAGCCAAAGATAGGTAAACCAATTCATGATGAGTGTGCTCACATATTGCATAGGAAGTTAGGACATGCCAGTTTTCCTGTAGTGCAAAAAATGACTGAACACGCAGAAGGTGTTAAAATAAAGAATTGTGA